TTATCATATATGTTATAAAAAATTAAACAGACATTCATTTAGACATGTTTTTATGTAAGCAACATTTTTTTTAATGACATATTATCTTTAGTTTTAATTATAAATAATAAATTGAATTTTTTTCTTAATTATAAGTAAAAATTATTAATTTTTAAAATTATTCAAGAGTGAATTTCTTTTATACTTATGATGAATTGTTAACTATATTTTTTTTTATAACATTAAATATAATAAATATTTAAAACAAATAACATCTTTAAAATAAAATAAATTAGAATTTATAGTATAATTAATTAAAAACAACCACCTTTATTATGTTTCTTGATCTTATAATTTGTTTTATGTTATTTATAATTAAGATCGAAAGTAGTAAATGTGATTTTTTTCATTTTAAATTTATAAATTATTGAAAAAATTATTTTTAATACAACTATTTTTTTATGCTACTAACCAACTGCATGGTGTATTATTCATAGACACTTGTTAGAATTTTTTTTTATTTCATTTATTACCGAAATAATCCTATTGGCTACGTGTGATATGGCACGTGATACCTTATTGACCACCGAGACGACTGAAGACAAAGGTAGTTGACTCACTAGTCTCGGCCATCTCAGTCGACGAGACAAACGAAGTGTGAGAACCTCCACAACTAGGTCGACACGGCCCTCGGACACGCCAGGGACCGTGATAGCGAACCTACAAGACCAAAGGCTTGGCCAAGATAGCGCGACTTGCTGGCCTTCTTGGTAACGTCTCGGCTCGGCAAGAGACCGAAACCCTAAAAGGCAACCCCAATCTTGCACCTCTCGGCTCGGCCAACAACTGATAAGACCAAACAGTGATTAAGACGACAATCATGATTAACAAGGACAAACACGTGATTAAGGCATAATCAGCTGATTAACACCGTATTACCTAATTTGGTAAGTGTCAGAAGAAGCCCACCACATTCAAGATCCATCACAAGTAGTATAAATAGGTCGCGTAAAATGAGGTATGTCACTGTTTATTTATTACTATCGAGATTCGTGTTTGTCCTGACTTGAGCGTCAGAGTGCCTTTTGCAGGTATCTCTCCCCTCTGAAACATCCGTCTAAAACTCTCGTTCGACCCTCAAATTACTAAAAGATTACGAGTGTGCCATTAGACAGATACAATTTAAAATGACATATTAATAATAAAGTAACTTTTTTATATAGAAATTATTGGCATGCAAATATAGTACCATAGTAAACTAATATATTACTTAATTTGATGTAAAAAAAACTTATTACTTAATTTTAAAAATTAAATGACTAAATTTGTAATTAAGTTTTTAAGAGACTAAAATTACATATTTGTAAAATTATATGACCAAAAGGTGAATTCAAGCCAATAATATTAATATCATATCATTTAATGAATTAAAATAATTCAATGAAAAGTAATAAATACTATTCTGATTTGTTAATTTGTTTGAAAGGTAAAATATTAATTTAATTATTCAATTATTTTTTTATATTTTTAATTCTATTATCCTATAATTAATGTCATTTAATATTTTTCTAAAATTATATAATTACTTTGAAGATATATTAGAAGGAGAGGAGTTAAGAAAAATGAAAACATTAATTATTATTTTTGTTTTGAATAAATTTGCACTTATTTGGCAAATATTTTTAGAATAAGAACTAAATGATAAATTTGTTGGCCATTATGTACCAAAAAAAAATTATGTTTGACCATTTCAATTAACTCACCGTGATTTCTTCTTACTTCCTGTCCTTATAATCGGAGATAAATTTTTAAATTGATTTTATTTTTTTTATAAGATTCACTTCTTTTAATTATAACTTTTTTTTATAGTTAAGATTTTTTTCACATCTTTAAAGAAATATTTAACATCAGTATATTAGTTCAAAATACCATCATTTAATATATTTAATACATTTAATATATTTAATAAGAGTAATAATGATAAAGTAAGAATAACAATTATTAAATAAGAGTATATGTGGTAAAAGTTAATTGATATTACTTGAGTGTAAAACATAAAAAATTTAGAATAAAAGAGGAAGCTTAAAACATTAAAATTTTTGGAATAGATGAAGTATTTCCTTCGTTTCATTCTGTTTGACGTTTAAGATTTTAGCACAAGACTTAAAAAATATAATTGATTTATCTCACTTAAAAAATTACGTAACTTCCGAATATATCCTTAAACATATTGGATTCTCACTAATAAAATAAGCATTGAAAAATAAAAATAACCTATTGATTAAAGAATGCAAAAATATAATTGATTTATCTCACTTAAAAAATTACGTAACTTCCGAATATATCCTTAAACATATTGGATACTCACTAATAAAATAAGCATTGAAAAATAAAAATAACCCATTGATTAAAGAATGCATTAATAATAGTTAAGAGTATAATAGAGAAATGATATTTAAAAATGTCAAACAAAATGCAACATAGGAAGTATGTCTTTAACATCAATTACTTTGTAAAAATACCCTTATTGAATGCATTTGAGTTCAACATATAAGTAAAATTCATTTATGGGCTTGTGACACAAAAAGTTTTTACTTGTGACACAAAATATTAGGCTATATTTATTTATTTATTTAATGCGATAAAAATCCTTGATTATGATGTAACATATAAAAGCATTCTCTAATATATTCATGATTACCATACAAATTTTTATGATTCTTGAAAATCATAATACCCAAGACTTATGATCTTCATGAATCATAATTTCAAAGCATGAAAAAAATTTGTTATGTAACAAACATCTCTTATTGACTTATTGTATGTCTCTTAAAATACAAATAGTCTCTTATTTTTGAAATTCAAACTTTATAAACACATTCTCCATCGGGCCATAATAAGTGTCATGTTTGAATAAAAAATAAGTCTTAAAATAAGTGTTATGTTAATTTTTCGATGTAATAATAATTATTATTTTTATTTATACACAACATAATATTATTTAAAAAGTGATTGTTATATTACATCATTTTTAACAACAAAAATTGAAGTTTTTTCTCGATAACATGCATTTACATTTAATTAATGTATATAACTAAAGTCTACATTAAATGCAAATGTATATTGTTGAGGTAAAACTCAAAGTCTAGCCGGAGAACAACACCAATCATACTTAAGAAACTGTAGCTAAGTTTTATCCTTAATCGTTGGGTTAATTTTATAAAATCACTATTTTTTTCATCTAATTTTTTCTTGATCCAGGTAAAATAACCTAGGAAAACACTTATAAAAGGATGACAATATCAGTTGAACTTGGTGGGTCAATCCACTAACCCGTCTAATGTTGGTGGGTTAAGTTGGATAAATAAACCCACCAACCCACTCAAACCGTCATACCAATCCCACCAGCCTAACAATTTTAATCCATTAACTTGATGGGTCAACTCGTCAACCCACATTTAAAAATAAATAAATTATAGTAGATTTATGTCAAATCAATATTTTTATTTTATAGTTTAACCTCTTTTTCCAAGTAATTATTTTTATTTCACATGAAATAGAATTATATTATTTTAATCACATATTTTTTTATTAGTACATTTTCATGTATAATGTCTTTTTCTAATATAAATATATATTACTCAGTCCCTTTACATGAAGAATATAATACATCTAATCAAATTTACAAATAATAATAAAATTGAAGTTGAAATATTTCAATTGAGATTTAAAAAAAAAATGGGTAAGTTGAAGGTAAGTTAACTTGTCAATCCATCATTTTTAACCTACCAATTTATTAAAATGACTCAATCTACCAACTCGTTAACCCACTACAAATGAGGTGAGTTAAATTTTTCAACTCATTTTCTTTGGTGGGTCAACCCATTCTATCGTACTTTAGATTGATCCACTTTGTCACTCTTAACTTATAATAAGACCGAAAAAAAATTAAGCGTCCTCCATTAATTGAGGGATAGTTTTGAAAAAAAAAGGAAGAAAATAATGCTAACCAGTTGATTAAATAATTAAAGTAAAAAGTTTTCAATAGAAAGTGTATCTGCACAATATAACTTTACTTTAGTTTTCAGTGAAAATTTTCTACACAATGATTCCTTAATCAATGTTCTTTAACAAAAATATATAAATTTAAGAAATGTTTCTTAATCTTAGAATTTTTTTTTTAATTTTAATGATTTAATTATTCGGGTCTTATAATAAAAATGTTAAATAGTATATAAAATTTTAAAATAACTGATTTTTACATACAAATATTGTATAATTTTACCAATTTTGAAAAAAATATTTGCTTTTATTTATCTTCAAATCCACATATCCAAATACAGTTTAAATAACATTGAAATATTAAATGCATTCAATATTGTCAATTCTAAAACCGGTCAGGGAAATTGTGAAAATGATTTATGTAGAACAAATTCTTTCTTCTTCTGATTATTTTGATAATCAGGTTCTTTTAATTGATAGTATTATATAAAAGGGAAAATGATTAAAATTCACAAAATCTTAATTGAATAGGAAAAAATAAATTCACAGGGCGGTGCATGCATTTTGCTGGTAGTCCACCATATACATGTGTGATGAAGAAATGGACAAAACAAAATGGACCCAATGAGTTTCTCATATACGTATATTTATTTATTTATTTATTTTAAAAGCGTAAATTTCCGTGATGATTTTGTTGCCATATGAGTGAATTAAGCTAATATAGTCAAATTATTGAGAGTCCCAAGAGCAGTTTAGGAAACATTGAGAGTAGTGTGCCCCGTGCATCTGCGCAACACTATCATAAGTAACTTCATTTTCCTTCATATCCCCAAAAAGTTATTCAAAAGGCATATTGCAAATTTCACAGCTATTCACAGGCTTTAAAAGGGTTAAAGTGGAAACAGATATAGAGAGAGAAAGTGTGTGTGTGATCACAGAGTGAAGAGTCAACCAAACCCTTTTTGGATGCATGTATTTGTAAGGCTTTCGAGTGTCCACATGTTACGTTTTATCTATGCCTTCTCCAAACTCTTCACTTATCTCTCTCTCTCTCTCTTTCTTGTCTCTGCTCAAATGAATCTATAAGCGTTCATTTTCTAACTCTTTAAATATTCATTTTCTTTTTTTCCTTCTCTTTCACGCTTTAGCATATTCAAGCATAGCGATTATCATGCACGGAACGAGACAGCACACACTGAACTGAACACTAGAGTTGCCATGCCATCCTTTCATTTATAAGCAAATAAATAGTAATAAACGTTTTCATTATTATTACTATTAAACTTTTTCTATCTCTCTCTCTCCAGTTAAAAAAAGATAGCATTTATTTATTTTATTTATATTTTGGGCTTTATCCTTTTGTCTCCTTTATCTATCTTTCTCTCTATTATTTATTTATTTATTTATTTTTTCCCCTGGTTTCCAAAGGTTTGTTTTTGATTGCTCTCTCAGGTATATAAGGCTGATTCTGAGAAACCCTTTTCATCTTTTGTGGTTCTCTGTGGCTTGGAAATTCTGGGGTTGGATGAATGGACACAAAGATTGAGAATTTCATCGATGAGGTTGGGTCATTAGTAGCAGCTTGTTTTCAAAGGGGTTTTGAGTAACAGTTTCTGTGGGGTGCTTGATTGGAGAAAGAAAAGAGAGAAAGAAAGAGAGAGTGAGAGAGAGAAAAGGAAGAAAGAGAAGCAAAAGTGGCTACTTTGATGAGTTTTGGGGGGTTTCTTGAGAACAAACAAAGTGGTGGAGGTGGTAGGATCGTAGCAGATATTCCTTACAGCAACGGTTCCAACCACAGCAACGATATAATGCCCTCTGGTGCAATCTCGCAGCCTCGTCTCGCCACTCCTACTTTGGCCAAATCCATGTTCAACTCTCCTGGCCTTTCTCTTGCACTTGTGAGATTTATTCTTAGCTATATATACCCTTTTGCTTCTTCTAATAAGGGCTTTTGTTTTGGCTGGTTCTGTTTGCTTACTTTTTCTTCTTTTTCTCTTGCAGCAAAGTGATATAGATGGACAAGGGGATGTGAACAGATTAATGCCAGAGAGTTTTGAGCAAAATGGTTTGAGAAGGAACCGGGAAGAGGAGCATGAAAGCAGATCTGGCAGTGATAACATGGATGGTGCTTCTGGTGATGATTTTGATGCTGCCGACAACCCACCAAGGAAAAAGCGTTATCACCGACACACTCCTCAGCAAATTCAAGAACTTGAGGCGTATGATGATTTTTTCATTATAAAAAAAATCACCTTTTTTAATTTTGTTAACACAAGTTAAAAAAAAATATGGGTTTTTGTGATTTTGTTTTGGAGGGTTGTTTTGAATTTTGGTTTGGTTTGTGTTTTTGTGTTATGGGTTTTAGGCTGTTCAAGGAGTGTCCTCACCCGGATGAGAAGCAAAGGCTTGAACTCAGCAGAAGGCTTAGTTTGGAAACAAGACAAGTAAAGTTTTGGTTCCAAAATCGGAGAACACAAATGAAGGTAATACTAACACAACACCCTTATGCCAAAACTTTTTTTTTTCTCTTCTTAATTTCTTGCTTTTGGGGCCTTAAATTAAACCATGGATCGTTTGTGTTGTTTAGACACAATTGGAACGCCACGAGAATTCACTGCTAAGGCAAGAGAATGACAAGCTTAGAGCTGAAAACATGTCTATGAGGGAAGCCATGAGGAATCCTATATGCTCAAACTGTGGAGGTCCTGCAATGATTGGTGAGATTTCACTTGAAGAACAGCACCTCAGGATTGAGAATGCTAGATTGAAGGATGAACTAGACCGTGTTTGTGCACTTGCTGGGAAATTCTTGGGCCGCCCCATTTCCTCTTTAACAAGCTCAATTGGGCCTCCAATGCCAAACTCAAGTTTGGAGCTTGGTGTTGGTAGCAATGGATTTGGAGGTTTGAGCACTGTGCCTTCAACATTACCTGATTTTGGTGTGGGGGGTATATCAAGCCCCTTGGCCATGTTGTCACCTTCAACTAGACCAACAACAACAACAAATGTTGTCAATTCTGGCTTTGACAGATCAGTGGAGAGGTCTATTGTTCTAGAACTTGCTTTGTCTGCAATGGATGAGTTGGTGAAGATGGCTCAGACTGGTGAGCCTCTTTGGATCAGAAGCTTGGAAGGGGGAAGAGAAATTCTCAACCATGAGGAATACACAAGGACAATTACTCCTTGCATTGGCTTGAGACCCAATGGTTTTGTCACCGAGGCCTCTAGACAAACTGGCATGGTCATCATAAACAGCTTGGCCCTTGTTGAAACATTAATGGACTCGGTAAGCCTTTCAACTACCTTCACACTTTTTCTCAAACTTTCCGCGCCTCTAATTTAATACACCTTTTATTGTTCTTGGCTCCTTTGGTGGTTATTTTTTCATTCCACCAGCTGAAATCACATTCAATGATAAAATTTTATAGGCCTTATTTTTTATAAATTGTAATTAATAATGAATACTGTTGTAGAGTGGAGAATGTGCACAATACATACACATAGCCCTTTTCTTTTTTTATTTTATGTTTGATTAATTGTTGTACGCGCGTGTGAAACCAATTTACTTTCTGCTGCGACAGAATCGATGGTCAGAAATGTTCCCTTGTATGATTGCTAGAACCTCCACGGCTGAAGTGATATCTAGTGGAATAAACGGGACTAGAAATGGTGCCCTTCAACTAGTAAGTTTAAATTGTTGTTATCATATACTACATGTATTTAGTTTTCTTTTAAAGAAAATATTTTTATGGTGGGTTTTTTTTAATCACAAATTTTGTTATCAGATGCATGCCGAACTTCAAGTCCTTTCGCCCTTGGTTCCGGTTCGTGAGGTCAATTTTCTACGCTTTTGCAAGCAGCACGCTGAGGGGTTATGGGCTGTGGTAGATGTGTCCATAGATACCATCAGAGAAACTTCTGGTGCACCCACTTTTGTGAACTGCAGGAGGCTTCCTTCTGGTTGCGTGGTGCAAGATATGCCAAATGGTTACTCTAAGGTAAATAATTTACCTATATATCCTTTATGTTCTTGGTGCATTTTTAGCATCCCAATTTTCATTTTTTGAAGACAGTAAAAATGATTTACTTGTACATTCTGCCATTCTGCCAAGCCTTGTGTCTTAATAGTTTTCTAAATATATATAGGCCACCTACTGAACTGTACTACCTCACCTGTTTTCATGTTTTCATCACATTTATTGTATTTTTTCCAAGTGGGTGCAAGTATCTGCAATGTGGGTAGCTTAATCGTGCAATATATTTAAAGTGGGGGCAAAACACCAGGCTAAGGAATCATGGGGCTTTTGCTTTTCCAAGCTACTTAAGAAGCTCATGGTTCGAAATATAGATATATAAATCGGCTTGTTTAGTGATTACTCACTATAGGATCACTCTGTCAGTGATGATTCCCACATATATTTTTAGTCTCTCAAAGAATTTGCACCCCGAGTTAGGATGCTTCCCTTTGTCTCAATTATATTCCAATCTTCAGTTTTCAACAACTGATTTTGATCCCATAAACTAATTGAGTAATACAACATGTTGCACAAATCTAGGTTACCCCATTAATTTATTCACGGAAGTCTCTATCACTTAAATTTATGTAGCATGAACACATTGATTACATATACCCCCTTTGAGCAATTTGCGTTGCGAATTTTCATCTACTTTTTTATTCCATTAACAATTCATATGATGTTTCTATTCCACTCTTTCATGCTGCTACATTTGTCATTCCCCAAGCATTATTTAATTTGCTAGACTATACGTGACCTGGTTCCAGCCCTATAGTCCATAGGTTTGTTATATAAAAATATTGAATGCGGACCCTTTGAGTCTAGATCAAAGACTGAACATTTTTGTCTGTTTCTTTTGAGTGTTTAGGATGAGTTCACCACACTGTCGTGGCAAATCTCGATGCCCATTTACGCTGCACATAGCTACTCTAAATCTCGTGTGACTTTATCTAGTACCTATATTTTATGTACTTGTTCCACATCCTTGAGATACCTTGTCTCAATCGTCAGACTTTTCCAAGATTTGTTTTTCACATGCTCCTATTCATCAGCATCTTCTCTAACCCCTCCAGAAAAAAAAAAAAAAGAAAAAAAAAAACAGCATCTTTGCCCCTATTGACTAATTAAACCAAAAAAAAAAGAACAATGTTTGTCATTTTTGTGATTGACTAGAACGTGTGTCAACTAATTTGCCTGTACATGATTAGTCCTTGGTTTACAAAATTGGTGAAACATTATAATTACTACCTCGGCAATATATATCAATCTGTCACTTTGCATGTGGCATGATAAATTAATATTGAAGGAGTTAGTAATCAGTCTCGTGAGGGCATATGAGTATATATGACATGGTTAATTTTCTTGAATATGCAGGTGACATGGGTGGAACATGCAGAATACGACGAAAGCCAAGTTCATCAGCTCTATAGGCCCTTGTTGAGTTCAGGCACGGGGTTTGGTGCACAACGTTGGGTTGCCACCCTTCAACGCCAATGCGAGTGCCTAGCTATTCTAATGTCCTCAGCAGCTCCCTCTAGAGAACATTCAGGTATATTTCTATAGATACAAGATTGTAATTATTACACACAAAAGGACACATATCATTCTTATAGCTAGTGTAATAGTCTATATTTAGTGTCCTTGTAATAATAAGATGGTTGCATAGTAAGTAATTACTGGTATATGATTTGGTTGTTGTTGCAGCCATAAGCGCAGGTGGAAGGAGAAGCATGTTGAAGCTGGCGCAGCGCATGACGAACAATTTCTGTGCTGGGGTGTGTGCCTCCACGGTGCACAAGTGGAACAAGCTGAACGCGGGGAACGTGGGAGAGGACGTGAGGGTGATGACGAGGAAGAGC